GCGCGGCGTTCCCTTTGCCGACGGATTGAGACGGTGCGGCGAGAAATCGTTCCGTGAAACTCACTTGGGTCACGGGCCCGTGTATCTCGGATACTCTCTCGGCGGCGGACTTCTCTCTCTCTCGGCGACGACGATACACACGGCAGCGGTGGTGGCGGCGGCGGTGACGACGGACGACGCCGTTGCTTCCTGGTACCGCCACTCGATAGCGCTGCCTTCGTCCTCCCGACTCGTCCTCCTACCTTCTCGCCCTTCCAGTCCCCACCAGGCTTCTTTCGAGCCAGCCTCTACACCACGGACGCACAGACACGCGTGCGCTCGCGCGCGCGCGAACACCCGGTGTTGGCTGAGTCCCCAGGATATGCCCGTGAATTTCTGCCCAAACCACGGCGGCGAGGAGAGACCGTCCTCGCGCGCGCAAACTCCTCGCGTATTCTTCTTCGCGCGCCCCCTCTCCTCCCTTCCGCCTCTTACTCGCGTTATATATTTCCCTCTCTGGCGCGTTCTCTCCTCCACCGCCTCCGCGAGCTCTACTCGATGGAACACACACGAAGAATCCAGGGAGCGGCAGCCCGCTTGTCCGAGAAAGAAAGGAAAACTCGAGCCGCAGAGGGAATATCGCGATCCTTCTCCTACCTTCTCTCACCACGCCATTCCCCACCAACCTCGCGGCCAACCTCTCTGCCGCCTCGATGGAAACACGCGTATACGACGACGCTATCTGTCTTTTTCGCGTGAACGCGGGCACAATGCCACCCGTGGATGAGCCTCCGGAAGAACGGGCAGAGAGAGAGAGAGAGAGTGAGAGAGAAAGAAGGAATAGGTGTGTGCAGAATCGTGGTCCGTCCTCCTGCTCGCACCTCTCCACCCTTCTCCGCCCTTCGATTTTCTTCGATGGAACACTCGCAAAGAATTTTAATGGTGACGTTACGCGGAACGAGCAAGGGGGAAAAGAGGAGCCCGCGTGTATACTAAAGTTTCTGCTTGGAATTTTTCCTCTACGATAACGTATCACGGAGAAATTGGAAAATTCTAGCACAGCTCTTTCAGTTTCTAGACTTTCTACGCTGCTTCTGCCTCCGTGGCATTACTTTCGTACACTGGATAGAAGGTGCACTCTCTCTCTCTCTCGTTCGCGTTATACTCCGTGTTCTGCGTTCCGTTCGTTAATATCGGATATTAGAAGGGACGATAACACTCGTCTTGCACGTAATAAAAAAAAGGTACTCGTTGGATATCGAAAGAGGGAGAGAAGCGACCTCCTCCTCCTACTTTCCTCCGCTCCCCACCATCGTCGAGAAGGAGCCTCCTGGTCTGGCTGCCGAAATCCAAGCGAGCACACGACTCTGAAACGTCTGGATTTCGCGAACCGCGACGGACCGTGAGCAATCACCCGATAGGAAACGATCCCGCGGCAAACGATACACCCTTTTAAACCGAACAGTCTCCGGTTCACGTCCCTAAATTGGCAAAAATTTCGGGAAACACTAACCGGGCGCAAGTTCCGCGGGCTTCGGTCTCCTCTACGATCCCCCCTCCCCACCACTGGTGCACACTCGCGCAGCATCCTGCCACAGGAGCACCCACACACCCGAAGGTCACGGTGCGGCGGCGAAAGACAAAGAGGGGAAATAAACGCGCAGCCTCCGCATGGACCAAAATGGCCGGTCGCGAGCAGACCGATTGGCGGGATGGAGACGGTATGGGCGTGGTGAGTGCACGCCACGTACCTTCCGACCGGTCCACGATAAAAATAAAGGTCTGACGGCGGCGCAGTGGGGATGTCGATGGAGGGGGACCGATGAGAAATAGCGGGCAGAAGGGAGGAAAAGGGAGAGCGCGCGAATGCAGGGTGCACGTTGCATTCGTTACGCGTTTTCGAGGGGCAAACGTCGCTGGCGGGGTGAGGATCCGGTGAGTAGGGAAAAGGACTTTTTTATAGATCCCCTCTGTCCTCTCCCTTTCTCTGTGTATGCGCTTGTTCCACGCCGAGTCTGTGCCTGCGGGAACGTGCATATGTGTCGCGCGTAATGTACCGTGGACAGAGTAAATGTACATATGAATGTATACGTACGTATGTGGAAGGACGGTAGCCATGAATGTAGCGTGTACATCGGAGCGTACGACGGTGAGCGGTACGCGAACGCGTGTAGGTCAGTGATCGTCATTAAGAGAGATGCTAATTGGAGGTAAAGCGCGGTCGAGCCAGCAACTCGGCTGAATATAGCATCCTCGAGCTGCGAGCAATATTTATATCGTCGTAGTAGAATCGTGTGCAAATCAAATTACCGAGCTTCTTCGTGTCATCGTTCGAACGCTAATACGTTCACGGACCATTTCGAAGTCAGCATTAGCTCTTACTTGTTAGCGGTACCGTTGATATTTCTCATTTGCACGCTTATCGCAAATCTAGCGATAAGACTGGCTAATCGGTAAAGTCTTGGAGAGGATTGTGATTAAGGAAGGTATCCATTGTATCCACGTTTTGCAACTTTGTAACCGAGTGTATGCTCACCTTTTCTAGAAAACTCACGGTAGACGAGTACCGGTAGGTAAATTGACGACACAGCATCGAAAATTTCCTCCGATATATCGGTTGTCCCCTTCGATTCGGTTTACCCGTGACGTTCATACGTAAATGAGGCACGGGTAATTTTATTCGAATACGTTTTTCCACGGTTCGAGGACCAAACTGTACAGTGTTGTCCGGTGTGAGCATCTCTGGCACGACGATATTCCTCCTGGCGGGTGTCGGTCTCGTGGACACAACCAGACGACGGTTGTTGTTTGTTTGTATATACCGGAGAGCGCAGCCGGGGTGCGGCTGGTTGCATTGGTGCAGTGAAAAGAGAAAGGGGGGAGTTAGATGGGTATATCGTGTTCTATTCTATGGGTTAGGGCATACGGTGTGTGCGGTTGGGGCACCAGCCTGAAAATTGAATGTCAGCCAAGAAAGAAATGTCACAATATTCCGCGTGTCTGCAGCCTAGCCCGGTTTCTATTGCATCTTCCTTCTCTCCGTTTCCCTTACGCTCCCTCTGCTTTCGTCGCTTGCCTGTTTTCGAGAATAACCAGAGAGCACGGGTGAAAAGGAAGGAGAGGGAGAGAGAGAGTGACGTTTACGTGTAGACTGAATGGCAAAAGGGAGAAGAGGGCGGTGTGATGCTATAGGTGTACAAATAACCGCGTATAACGCGTCGCGAATGAAAATAAAAGTGTTACCTGGAAATATACGCGTAGAGTCTAGGCGTTTGAACGAAACATGTAACGCGTATCGAGGCACCCTTGGAAAACAATTATTGCCTTGTGAATTATATCATCGAGTTGGCATAACCCTTCTTCGAAATAGCGCATAATATTAGGATTTTATGGATCGATAAATTTCACCGGTCCCCCGGCGACCTCCCCCCAATTTCCCATCCTCCAGAGTTGACGCGTAAATCAACGATCGTCGTCTCGTTGACCGAGAAATCCTTTCGGCATCTGCACAGCCTCTCTCCGCTCTCTTCTCTATTCGGCTGCGCCTTTTCTGAAAAAGCGTGTCCTGGCCGGGGACACGAGGTCGCCGCCGTCGGGGTAATCCGACGTCCGAATGTTTGACAGAATAATTTTCACGTTAGCAGGCTGCATTATGCTCCTTTATGCTCGCGCCTGGCCCTACGCATTGTCGCCGAAATAAGCCGTATCCCACACCGTACGGCCCCCAAAAGCTTTCATGCGCTTTTGCACGTATACCGTGACCTCAGAAAAACCGGGGAACCCCGTCATATAGCTGTACTCGAACGAGACACGGGGAAAGAGCAAGAAAGAAGACGAGATTAGAGGAACCTAAGCCAAACCTCCCTTCTTACCTCCGTAACCATACGTTTCCCCTTCGATATTTTTCCTTTTCTTTGCCATTCCATCTCCTCGTCGAAAAAGATTCGAAAGCAATCACGCGAGGCTACAGCAAAATAAGTTATCTTCCTCCGATAAAAGTTTCGTACTCGAGCACAGAGTTGGTCGATTTTTCGTGTGCGAACATAAGGCGAAGATTATATTTAGTTAACCGCGAGAATCCACGGAGATCGTGTCCCCGTCACTCGACACCAAATCAGACAGAATCTGTCAAAAATCTGTCACTCGGGCACAATGGGACGGCGGACCTCTTCTCTCCCTCGAAGATCTTACCTACACGGTGAAATCAGACCAGTTGGGTGGGGTGAGAGGGACGAAAGGAATGTAAGTAGGAGGGCCCTCGCCACCTATATTTGACACCTTTCAGTCCAATAAAATGAAATGGTTCGGTGGAATGTGGTCTCTGGTTCGAGACCGAAGTGCCGTTTGCTACGTCAGACGTGTAACGTCCCTGCGAGAGAACCGAGAATCCCCTCTGTCGCCGACCAAGTTCCCTTCAAAGCCGGAGGATAATATCTCGAATCCTTGATAAGGGTTACTTCCTTCGTCCACTCTCTCCTTCCCCGATCCTTAACTCGCGTCCTCCTACGATTCTTTATCTCGATGTCACGTCGCGTCGCGATTCTCCGAAAATTCAATTACCCGACCGCGAGAAGCATCGATTCATGAAAGTGTGGTGACCGAACCGGTGACCGAACCGGTGACCGAACCGGCAAACGTTCGCACTTGGTAATAACGCGCGCAACACCTTAGAAAGCTGCGTTAGTTACACATCCAGGTGAACCGTGACCGATAGCGCTGCGGTGAAAAGCATATATACGCGTCTTTTGTACCATTCTGATATATCTGCGCTATTGATTTTTCTCCAACGGCTGTAATGTCTTCTCTATTGTGCAGGAGAACGGTAAGCCATTCGACGATAAATCGCGTGCAATTTTTCAAAACCTTATTGCGGTTCGCAAGCGTTCGCGGCGTCGCAGGAACGATCGAGCGTTTGCAACGAAACGGAAACGAATTTTCTGAAACGGCGGTTCAGGGAAGGAGGGAAGGTGTTTTTCCATGAAGATATCGTGGAAATAAATTGTACACGTTGAAAACCGGCTTTTATTTTCGGGAACGGATCGGTGCCTTGGAGATTTTTCGCGCATAACTTTACGATCGATCTTTCGCGGATTTTCAAGAGCGGACTCGACGAATGACTCGACGAGAGAGAGAAAAAAAAAACACCCTTCGCATTTACATTTGTCCTAATCCGATAGACATCATTCTCCTCCAGATGTTTAGCCGAGTTGTTTGTATTGAGATGCGCGGGACAGATATATGTATAATCTAGTCAATTTGACACCCTCATCGAGGGACTAATGGGTGCTTTCAACCCGGCTCGAACCAGTTATGTAGAGCTTTTCTACGGGCCATCTCGAACTTTCCGATGCTTATCGCACCAACGTCCGTTTGTTCTTAACGATTCTTCGTGTTGTTGAAAATCTTTCTTTAATTCTAATATACAAATCGTTTAAATACCCTATGAACACATGGTCGGAGGAACGAATTAAACGAATCCTCGTACGCTTCACGAATTGAGCTTCTCTTTCTCTGGGTTCGTCACCAGCGTCGTTGGAATCGTGTGCAGTGGTACTTCGGTGTACTTTTTCGGTGGTAGAAATCTGAAAGCACGAACGTGAATACAGCTTGCAAAAATATTTGTTTACATTCTGAAAAAATGAAATCTCAACAACACGACACCGTACCTCTGAACGATCGGTGGAAAAAGATTTCTGTCGACGTCCTTCAAGTCTGGCACGCCAAACACGAAACTGATGAGCGTTCCAAACACCATCACTATCAGAAAACCAACTGTAGTGTAGTACATGAACGATACGGTGAAGAGAACGAAAGGTTTGTCCTCAGGATTCGGTGTATGCGTGGTTGTCGCGTTGTGCAAACTTTCTACTTTGATGCATTCTTCCGTGGAGGTAGGAAGGGGTGGATAATATAATTTCTTTTGAGCCGCGCTCACTTGAGCACCGACGATGATCCACAGCATCGAAAGCATGGAGAGGAGTCCGCCAATTATGGCTCCTCTCGACGTTGCCCATGGTACCAACATTCCCAGGGTGAAGATACCCAACATCGAGCCAGCCGTGATGCCGTGAAGTGTCAGAGAGGCTTGAAAAATGTCACCTAAGCGATCCACGAGGAAAACTAGCGCGACGCAAACTAATCCTACGACAACTACGGTAGCCTAAGGATCAAACACGAGTCGTAGAATGATTTTTCCTCGAAAAGAGTCGATCGAACGCGATGCTTCGTTCCCTACCTTCATGATATTCGCCGCTCTGTGCTCTTTGTTGTTGCTCTCTGGCAACCAGGGATGAATGAAATCCTCGTAAATTGTCCCAGCGACTGTGTTCAAATTAGCGCTCATTGTCGAGAGACCAGCGCTGACTAGACCGGCGAGGAAAAGTCCAGGAAGCCCTGGAATGTCCGCGGCAACATCCAACACGTAATACGGAAGCAATTGGTCGCTCCTAGAGATTACCTGGACACCGATTGATTCGTTGAAAATTCGTAGCAAAAAACAGCAGACTCGATTAATTTCTAATTGTAAGGATGAAAGACGAGAGAACGATACTTACGTGTGTGCTTATGGGATCACACTTGTGATACCTGGCGTACATTATAAGCCCAGTGAAAACGGAAACCCATTTTATAGCCACCATGCATATCCCCATAAATCCTATTGCCCTGCAGATAGTAAACGGCTCGTCGTTATTCCCCTTAATCCTCGAAAAAAGAGCAACAAAAAGAAGGGGAAAAAACGCTCTACTCACTTGTGCGCTTCTCTAATGTTCGGCACAGAGAGAAATCTTTGTATGGACACTTGGCTGATGCCAAGCCCGGTCAACCACGTCATCGTCATTCCCACAGACATTCCCCAAAAAGAATTTCTCACGAACGGACTTGGATCCATGCTGTAAATACACGACAAATGATGTAACAATTCGTTTGAATGTTGATCAAAGTTGGACAAAGTTTTTCGTACTTCCAAAACACCACTCTGCCAC